TTTTATTCTTCTCCTTTTTGACAAGTTCAGTGGGTCTGTGATGTGTCTCCAATGTAAAAAAATATGTTGTTCAGCAGTAGCACTGATTTTCCCATATAAGGAAACCTTCTGCCAATTATATTTATACAAAGATACTTCTCTGGAAAAAAGTTACCTATCCTATATCTTCAGTATGTTTATGAAGTGTATACACTATATACTTCAAAATCTTAGATTTTGATTTTACAGTGAGTACAGAAAATAACCAGAGTAATCAATGCTTCTTTCAGGACAGAGGAATCATAGAATGGTTTTTGATGGAAGGTAACTTAAAGATCATCTGGTTTCAACCTCCCTGCTATAGGCAGGGACACCTTTCACTAGACAAGGTTGCTCAAAGGCCCATCCAACCTGGCTTTGAACTCTGCCAGGGATGGGGCAGCCACAGCTCCTCTGAGCAAAGATGTTGGAGAGGATTGGTCCCAATATTGACCCCTGAGGAACACCACTCGTCACTGATCTCCACTTGAACATCGAGCTGTTGACTGTAACCCTTTGAGTGTGATCATCCAGCCAATGCTTTATGCACTGAATGGTCCATCAAATGCATGTCTCCAATTTAGAGACAAGAGTGTCCTGCAGGACAGTGTCAAATGCCTTGCACAAGTCCAGGTAGATGTGAGGTCAGTACCCAAAGGAGTGTCTTTATTCAGCGTGTAGAATATATGGCGTGTGCTTTTTGAACATTATTTAATGTTTTTGTCAGAGCTGTATTGGTTTTGTCTAAAGCATTTTGCTTAACTGAACTTAATCTAGTCCAAAGTTGCATTTATGTTTAGATTAATTGAGGGGCAGGAATATCTTTGTACCTAGAATGGTATGGTCTTGATCATGGGTTCAGACTGATGGTTGCTTCTGTCTCTGAAATAATAAGCAGTAATTTATCCGTTTCTATTAGGTGTTTGGTCAGCTATGTCATTGCAAAGGCATTAGGTAAGTCATCTGACTATCCCTTGTGGCAAGTACTGCCTGTGATTTATATGTGGTAGTTGACAACTTGACAGCATTTTTGTGAAGCCATTGCTATTTTTTTATTTTTATTTTTATTTTTATTTTTTTTATGTATCGAGTTTGATCCATCTGGTGGTGTTGTTAGCTTGCTATTTTTCAAAATAATCTCAGATCCTTTTAAACTGAAACCCAAAGAGCTTTACAGTAAACTTTTTTTTTGAAGTTTTAATCCAAATAAGGCCAATTTCATTTTTACGCTTAGCTGTTCCTATAGGAAATAACACATCAATGATGTTTTATCAACTACAGAAATAAAATGTAGAAAAGAAAAATTCTGATTGAATCTTAGATATGCAAATCACATACTGCAGCGAGCCATTTGCTGCAATATGTTTTTGCTGAGGCCCAGTAAAATGTACTATTACAGGAACAGCCTAAGTGAAAAAGCCAGGTAGAATGTATGAGCACTTAAAAATTTATGACTTCTAAATTCACTACAAAATTAGCACGTTGTCTTTAAGCAAAGGTTCTTTGGCGTCCAATATTTTGCATCCACAGAGATTCTTTCTACTTCTTTCATATTTAAAAAGATTTTTTTTACATTGGCAGAAGTAAATGTAAACTTTCCAGTTGGTAATGAGTCTTCTTTTATCCCAGTGCCCCAAATTATGTCCCTTTTTTAGGAGAAAAAAAATGTTATAATGTGCTTATTCCCTTTTACATGCCTAGTTCAACTGTTAGTGAAGTAAATGTTAGCTTTTTGGTGTCCAGTGAATGTAAAGAAAGACCATTGGAAACTCCAAACCCAGTGGTAACTGTTTTGCTTGTGGCAGTGTCTTCCATAATTAGGAAATCAGCAAGCTTTCGAAAACGTGGAAACATTATTCCAGAGGCAGGACAGTATAGTCAGAAAAAGTAAACATCTGTGTGCCACTGGTAATGATTTTAATGTGTTTCACTAGTACTGCCCAGTAAATTTATGGAAGAAAAGGACAGAGCATAACATGATCTACATTATCTTTTAAGATAAAGTAGTAGCTTGTTGTTCAGAAGCTGTAATATCACAGAGAGAGAGGAGATCTGGGTAAAACTTTATATAGGACTTTTGGTTCTAGTTTGTATTGGTTTGGTTTTCGCTGGCTATGGAGCAAATATCGATACTTTGGGGTTATCTGACAGATCTACAGTGAATGGTGAAATGAAGGCATTTTACTGCTATCAAATGAGACACCCTGTAATAACTTAACTGGCATTGAACACTTCTTGACAACCACTGATTGCAACATAGTTTGATAAATATTCAACCCATTGCATCAGTTAAATACTTCTACCATTCCTCAATTAGCTCTCCCACCCTTGTAGCATCCTGGAATGCTCAAGAATGGATGAATAGTTTAAGTATGCCAATAGAGAATTACTTGACCTAACCCCCCTCTTTTTTATTTTTTTTTAAGTCATTGCATTGTGAATTGTATTTAGTTTACTATAATAAATTATAACTACTTTTAATGTGCTTTTTATGTCTTCGTCTACATTGACTTCGTTAAAGGATGGAGTATCCAAAAATCAAAAGAGGTGGTGTGAGTCATGAGATAACTGGTCTTGAAAATAGGTGCTGAGAGAAGATGAGCAGGTCGAAGTGGGTCAGGTCATTATTAAAAACTAACACTGCTAAAAAGTGAGTGGTGGCTGGCGTACTGGTCTGAGGACCATGTTATTAAATATAATGCTTTTTGGGGGAATATTTATATTTTATAAGCTATTTGTAATTTACAACCAAGCAGAGAAAAAGATGGAAAAGGACTGTGAAAACCATTTGGGGGGCATGGGGGCGATCAATTTCCCAACATCAGTCAAGATGATGTGAACTTGAAAAAGGTAAATAAAGTGAAGGCAAAAATATGTATCTAGCTTGTCAGGAAAACCTGGTTTTGATAATAGAGTAGCTTGTGAGGCTGAGGTTTAAAGCTTTATTTGAATAAAGGGACATCCCCACCAGACACTCAATTTAATTTAAGTACCTGCCTATTTTATATTTTCCCCATCCGCAAAGTCCCTCCTCCTTTTTTCTTTGGCTTCACATAAGATAGGCAAGTTTCACAAGGCTAAGCAAGTTTTGCAAGGTTTAACAAGTTATCACATTATTTACATTGTTTGTTTTTCATAGAACTACAAGCCTTTTGTAAGATTCTGTACTTTTTCACTGTTCTCAGCAATTTGTATATTTTTTGGAAAGGACACAGTCTTATTTTGTTGCACACAGCTTTTGGTCTCAGACTTAAACTACTGTTCACCTTTACCTTTACATTTGAAAGAAAGGAACTATTAAGCAAACGCTTAACTGTGATTACTTTTTAAGCTGCTTTTTTTTTTTCTATGAGAAAAAGTTATTTTCAAATATTTATTTATTTATGCATCCACCAATTTAAAGGTTACAGCCATATAAAAACGAATGAAGAACATGTGCTAGAAAGCTTACCGGTTTTCTAGTTGTAGCTGTTGCTCCAATAAAAGATGTTATCTTAAAAGCTTTGCCTTGCAAGAATGAAATTCCTATTCTGTTGGTGTTTATAACCTAAATGTTTCATGTGCAGTAGTCCTAGGTGAGAATAACCCTCAAAAAAAAAATTCAGGGCTAAATGAAGAAAATAGCTATGGTTTTATATTTCTGAAAGTGAAATAAGGTTTAAAAAGTGTATGGTTTCGTTTTGTTTTCAGTTATTAGTAACTGTTAACTATTAAAGAAACTTTTCTGATTCAGGGTAATTTTGACTGGTAGTCACAAATGTCTGTGGTATTATTTGGAAAAATGTCTTCTTATATTCCTGATAAAGTGGCTGTTTATCATGATGGACAACTGTCTTACTGAGCATGTACGCTCTGTGAATGACATATGGGTCATTTTCTGAGTTCCCTTGGTACTACAGTAGAATCTAGAGATCCTGCTTTGCTGAACATTATATAAAGTCATACTACTTAGGTTACTACTGTCTTTTCTAGTTAGTATATATACTGCTTAAAGGGAAGAGAAATTAAATACTCATTTCCCTTTGTACATAGGCAGTTGAAAGAAAGAAGTAAGAAGTGAGTTGCCTGGTGTGAACTTGGAAGTATCATAATCTAAAACCAAGCCTGTATTTTCTGATTCCCAATCCAGTTGTAATCTCTCAGCTGTAAATCTCTCAGGTTTCTTTTCTGGCATATTGGAAATGTTCAGCTGTATCAGAGTGATAGGGCATTTATGATTGGAAAGTTTTTTATTTTTATGAAGTCAGCTGAATCAAATAAAAAAATAAAAACCAGAAGGTATATAAGAAAAACTATATTGAAAATAAGAAAAGATCATTATTGTGTCACACTCTAGTAAGCTAGTTCTTAAAGGGCACATAAAAATATTAGTATTTATCTGGAAATAATTTTTTTTTTGTTTTGTTTTTTTCCAGAATGGTCAGTGTTGTTGTTTGTTTTTCACACTTGCTCAGAAGTCATTGGTCTTTATCTAATCACTGGTTTATGTTGGCTTGGTTTGCTGAGTTTTTACTTCATTTACTTAGATTTTTTATTTTTCTTTTTAGCTGTGCTATGCATTACTTTTTCATGTGTGGTGGCATCATTAGGATTCAAAATTTTTTTTCTTGGTGCCTAGTCCATGAGCTTTAGGTTCATTGAAAAGTATCAAAGCTGCATACCCTAGGAAATTTTTCAGGGTCAAGTGTATTATTGCTTGTGCTGCTGCAGAGTCCCAATGTACTGACAGGCTAAGATGCTATTTATAGCTGCTTCTTTGAAAATGTTGTAAATATTCCTTCTACTAGTTGTGACATACAGTAGTTGTTTTGGCTGTTTGCATTAGGTAGTTGCTTCCAGTAGCTTAGTTCAGATCAAGTAGTCAAGCTAGACAGATGCTGAATGCTTTTAGTTCTCATCTTTTGGCAAATTTAAAATGTCAGTAAATGCTCTCTTTTATGTTGTTTATTGTGGCTAATGATGTGTTTGGGGCTTTTTTTCAGATCATGCTAGTGAAAGCATCCATCAACTGAAATATGCCTTGGAGGACAGACAGTTTGGAAAGGGTGAAGGTGAAGCTGGATTTGACCAGTCCTCTGTGAACAAGGGCAGTGATGATGTGGACACGAGTAATGATGGTAGTGGGAATGCAGCCTGGCAGCAACTGCAGCACAGTCACGCTGGTAAGATTACTGTGAAAGCAAATAGTTTAAAAATAGTCAGAAATTATACTAATTTCAATGGGAAAAAAAGTAAATATTTTTGTTATAATGTTTTTTATCTCTTCCTAGTTAATCAACTTAAAATTTTATTGCAACATCAAGAAAGAATGGAAAGTGAAGTCTCTCCATCAGGGAGGAAGAGGTCGTTCTGTGTATGTTTATTCTTATTTCTTTTGTGTTGTTTAAATGAATGGCATGCATTATGAGATCAGTTTTCTGGTATCCAGAAAAAAAAAAATGCACAGGAGATTCCTGAGGCTATGGCCAGAACTTGGCATGCTTATGACCGTAGTGGGGAAAAAAACGGAATCTATAATGCAGGATTTGGGCTTTTTTCCTCTTTTGTTGACTATGCTGTGTGGGTCACAGTCCGCATTGCTTTCAGCTTTCTCATATTTTCTCATATTTTTCCATCAAGAGTTCTTTTTTTTTTTTTTTTTCCTTTGGGTAACAGTTGGGATTGACTACAAATTTCTGTAGAAGCAGCATCTGTCTTCCCTTGACTGTGCTATATGTAGCTTCATAGTTGTAACTATGCTTTTTCTTTAGAGGATTAGGGATGTTCATGTGAGAACAGGTTTTGTAGCTCTCTGCTAAAATGCAGTGGTCTGTATCAAAGTTAGTTTACACCCTTACATGGTCTTCTTGGGTTTAGCCTTCTTGCAGGAGAACTGCACCAAAGTATGTGCAATGCACAGTTCAGTTCCTGAGCGACTGCTAGATACTAGTATCCTTATAGGAAAATAATTCAAAGGCATTATTCTTTTTGTGGCCTCCACTGACTATTTTTGGTTTATACTAAGCAAGACAAGCAGCTCTTTGCTGTCAAAGTTGAGGTAGCAGCAGAATAATCTAAAGCTGCTGTTCCTGCTGTGTTGCCTTGAACCTGTGTAATGAGCCTAGCTCTACTGTTCTGGCATTCAGAAATTTTATTTAAAGTTCGACTTTTCTAAGTGTTCTAAAATCCATGAGTTTAAACTGGTTGTCCTGCCAGGTACTTTTGGCTCGCAATGGTGCAGGATGGAATTAGTGTTTCGTAGCTCAAGGGAATGGCGCATCATTGGTTGATCTTGACATGACATGAATCAGTATCAGTTTTTATTTAGGAGGAAAAACATCTTTTAATCCGTCTTTGTCAAAGGTTTCTACTGATATTGAGGAAATTTTAGTAGAGTGGAAAAATTCAGAAAATGGGATACTTTTTCTCAGAAACATGTGATAGTGCTTTCATGGAGTGGATTAAAGGATGGAGAAATAAACTGAGAAAAGATGGGAATTTACTGTTTTCATAGGGCATTGTCCCATTTCTTTCTTTTGAAGTTTCCAGTGAGAGGGATTCTGTGAAGTGGTGGCCTTAGTCTCCTTTTTAGCTGTCCTTCATCTGCTTGCTAACCAGGATGTGAAAGTGTTCTGAAGACAGACCAAGTGTAAAGCTCAAAAAATGTAGAAGTACAAAAGTATGCATACATCAGAAAAAAAACCCAAACCCTTATAAAACACAAGCTTGACTGGTGGTTTGCTGGACTCTGCAGAAATGCTTTCTGTATAAGAAGAATCAGTTTCCCCAGAGGTCAAGGAAAGCAAACTCAGACTATGAGTAACTTTAACCTTTTGTTTTGAATTACGATGAAATACCTGATAACTACTGAATAGTAGTCAGGACACATGCAGTCATGTGTCTATAGCTAAATAAAATATTTCACATGAAGTATACTGTTTAATAAACTTCATGATATTTCACATGTATAAATAATATTGTCTTAAAATTCCTTTCTCTTGCTTGTTGATAAAAATTGCAATAGACATCAAATGAGTATGTTTTTTTTCTTTGATTACACCTAGGTTATTGGGCAGAAATTTTCCTTTTGCTCTCTACCTCATCACCTGAGGTCAAGGCCCAGTAAGATTGCTTTATACAACAACTGCAGTTCTACAAGCTGAGTCTTTGCTAACTGAACTGCATCTAGCCTGGGTTCCTGACATTTGTTGGAGCTGGAGTTCCTGTGCTGATTTCCATTGTTTCTTGCCAGTTTACAGGGCAGCAGATTTAAGACTACCACTAGGAGAGTCTCTGATTCTGCTGTTTAGAGGTTTGAAATTTGAGGCATTCTGGAAATGCACAAGTTGGACCAAATTATTTGGGATGTTAGCATAGTCCACCACTAAACCATGTCACTAAGGGCCTCATATGCATGTTTTCTGAATGCTTCCAGTAATGGTGATTCCACCACTTCTCTTGGAAACCTGTTCCAATACCTGATCACCCTTTTGGTGAAGAAATTTTTCCTAATATCCAGATCTTGTAGGATCAAAGAGAGGCTGTAGTTTTCAGGAAACAATTTGATTTATGACTTTAAGGGCATTTTAGTAATAGTTGCTTACATTCTTTATCTGTACTGTATTCTTAGGTGTAAAGGCTGTAAAGCTGTAGAAACTGTGGTTTTCACATTTTGTAAAAAGTCTAATCCCTGTTTAAATCTTACTGGGCAAGACAGAGATGTAGTTGTTCATTGTAATTGAATAGGCAAGGATTCCCGTATTACCTTTTTCAACTAGTTATTTGTGAGGCTGTCAAAAATGTTGCCTGTTTATAGGGTCTTCAGAAAGGTTTTTTTAGACTGTCTTTTTAAAATACCAATAATCAAGTTCTTTGATAAATGTAGTATCTATTACACACCTTCCTGTGTTTCTTTGGAGGTATTAAAATTGCAGACATAGTTGTGTTTCTGTAGCAATTGTTAATAAACAGAGGAGTTGCCTTTGCACACCAGAACTCATTAAAATTCAAGGGATTTTTATATTCATTTCACAGAGAAGAAAACCCTCCTTTACATTTGTCAAAAATGGAAGATGCACTTAAATAGCAGTATGAATTTCATTTACAGATCGGTTTGCGGATATGCTTTAATCCCACTTTATGGATGTGCGTTATCAAGCAGCTGTACATTTTGACAGGAGTGACATGCTTACTTTTTGTATTGAAGAATTTTTCTTGATCTAGTACTTGGTGACTTTTTGTTAAGTATACATAGTATTCTATATGCAAGCAACATCTTACTGCAGTAAATGGAAAACTGGAAAGTAACACGTGCTATTCTTCACTTCCTCCAGAAACCCCCAGAAGCTGCAACTGGAGACTTACCAGCCCTTTCTGATCTTGTTCCTATAATCAATGATCAGTCACAGTACATTAACCATTTAGAAGCAGAAGTGAAGTTTTGCAAGGTATTAGACAACATTATTTTATCCCCTAGACCCCTGATCCCCTAAATAGGAAGAATTGCTTTAAAAACAGCTTGCACTTAATCTCTAGATTGATTGTTATGATGACCAAAACGGAGCCAAATGCAGTTCAGTAGATACTCAGCCTTGTGATGTGTCTTGGCACCTGTGTACTGTTTAAAGATCTTTAAAGACATCTTTATGTCCTATCACAAATAAAAAGTTTGTTTTAATAAAGAAATTATATGGAAATTCAAGCTACAAAAATATGAAATCTGTCTTGAGTATTCATATTTTCTCTAAACGAGTTAAAATAATTGAAAATACTTGTCTAGACTTTTGGTCTCAAGATGTAGTTAAATGTTGATAGTGTCTCAAGAGGCCTTTTACATGCAGTTCCTGTATCCAATAGGAGGAATTGTCTGGGATGAAAAATCGAGTACAAGTAGTTGTACTTGAAAATGAGGAACTTCATCAGAAACTGAAATTCTTAACTGTGGAACGTAAGTTGAGAGAACAGACTCTTCTAGATGCCTCAGTAAGTTTTTATTTTTCTGTTGCTTTAATTAGTTCTAGATTCTTTTTAAGGAAGGCTATATAAATGGTTATCCAGAAACTGAATTTAGTCAAAATTTAATGAAAGTGTGTAAATATGGATTTCTGTGGATATCATTATCGTAGGTTACCAACCTAATGAAGTTGTTTATTGGTTGTTATATTCTACTGTAATGAAAATTCTAAGGTTCAGTACATATATAATTAACATTTGTTTAAAAAAACAACCCTACATAACTGAAGCATTAATAATTTTATTTTAGGCAAATACTGAGAATTCTTGGACTGTGGGTGGTAATGAGTGTAGCATGCATCAGCCTGTCACCTCATCACCAGCACGTAACAGAGATCAGGCTTTTGCTACATCAGCTTTTGGAGAAATAGAAAAATGGCACGTAGAACTGGTTGGTATTAACTTTCTTTGCAAAACCTTTCTGTGCTTTGTTGTTGCTGCAGATATTCTTGATTTTTTTTTTTAATTACTTTTTTTTCCCCTCTTAATTAATGGGGTAGTATTGCTGTATTTTGGGAAAATCATTGTTAACTGAAAGTTCTGATGTTTTTTATCCATGTTCATGTGTGTACTGTGGAATTTAAAGAATACTTAAGTTCTTCAAGGTAATTATATGTATTTATTATTTTTTCCCAGTAAAATATTTTTGTTGGTTTTGTGCATTTTGTGCATCATCAAGAACTGAAAACCTCTCCAGTGTTCCCTAACACCTGCAGTTGTTTAAAAGCTAGTTTTTACAGTAATTGCACTTTTACTTTTTCTGGTATATTTAAAGGAAGAGAATCATATTGATTATGACTTTTTTCCTAAGCATCATAGCTAAATTTCTGGTGCTTTGTCTGGTTTGTTATCACCATCATATTTAACATCGGTGTGGTTGATTTATCTAGCTAGTTCTTCACCAGGTATCTCACTGTATTGTAAATAAATAGCCTGTCTACTTGAAGTTCTTCAAAATTCCTCTTTTATTTCTGATTACTTGTGGTAAAGTAAGAGCAAACTCAGGACAAGGTTATAAATTTTTGTAAATCATTCTAGAGGGCTGCAGTTGGAGCTGAAGCAATTTACTGTGTGAGGATCTGGCAAGATGTATAGAAATAAAATGGGAGGGTTGTTCATTTCGTAGACTTTTACAAGGTGAAATATTTAGATTTCTCTGACATTAGTGCTTCAAAAAGGTTATACCTTTAGGGGAAAAGAATGAATGTGGCTAATGTCTAAGTTGATTTGTAAAGATAATATTATAAAGAAAGTAAAAGACACTTCTTTCCTCCTATCTTTTCTAAAGGAGAAACTAAAATTTCTTCATCAAGAAAAACTCAATATCCTTGAAGCTCAAATACAGTCTCTAAGGTGAACTGTTTATTTTTTTTCCTTAAAGTTATTGCTAATTAATTATTACTTCATAACGTCATGAACCACTCCTAATTGCAATTTAAGCAAGAGAATGCTTGGCTGTATGTTGTGTTTTCTGATAGTGTCCCTGAAAGCTGGTTTTACATGAAGTTTTCTCAAATATAAACATAGCAAAATTGAATGTACTGCTATTATATAGCAGCGTTGGCAATATATAAAATCTATAAATTCAATTGAAATATTGTGTTTATAGAAACTAAAACTTGCTATAGAATGTCTTTATCTTTTTTACCCTTTGTCTGTGCAGAAACATCATGTTTGTTAAGGTCGACAAAGAAAAAGAAGTTAAAATTTTAGCTTGTGTGAACTCTTCCATAATTAGCTTGCTTCTGCTAGCATTTTATATTGCAAGTTCTGGAAATCATAAGCATCAAACTAGTTCAGGCCACATAATAATTTTTGAGCAGGCAAGCATTGTTTTGAAGCATGGAGGCAGAATCTTAAATTTCAGCTGCAGAATCCAATTTATTTGGGTTTGTTTTTTTTTTTTCCCTATTTGGCTTGACATATTATATATACTCAAATAAATATTGGAGGCTAAAATAGCCTGAAAATTGCCACAACTACATTATTTAGCCTCTTGATTTTTCCTAAGGGGCATGATCTTTTGAACTCATAAGTTCTGCAAAGCACTTGAGTTATTTGCTTAAATTTTAATTAAATTGAGAAATTATATTGCTTTCAGTTGGACTATCCTTGGTTTTAATTTTAAGCATGAATTTAAGTAGAACCCGCTGGTTTCTGTCCAGATTTCCCAACAATAGCTCTGTTGTACCATGACTGTATGAGGATGTACAGAGCAAATTCTGTTCAGGTTATAGTGGTTTATATTTAATAGACCAACTACTAAAATTGGAAAAAGTGCACAGAAGATTTCCCAGATGGAAATAAGCATGCATGCAGTGTATATATCATGTGCACAGTAAATCCAATGCAACCAGAATGTGTCAGACTTACTATGTGTATGCTGCCCAGATGGCCTGCATAACAAACCAAAAGCTTTGGATTCATTGCAAATTTGTCAAATTGATCTATATGTGCACAGTGTGCGTTTGTCTGGTACTTCCTGATGTCAGCATTCCTATCGCTTGCGCTCTCCTCGGTCTGACAGATGCTTGGAAATTCTGGAGAAAATTCTTCAGAGCACGTGGTAAAAAATTAGGAGACATAAAAAAATTACCCTGGTTTTGTGATGTGGTTGAGCTGAAGTTTGTGTGTATCACTGGATCATAGCGTATGTGTTGAGTACATCTGGATTTTGCCTAGGGAGCATAGTGGGTTCTTACTTTACTTAATATTCTAACTTTACAGTTAATTTGAGAGTATAGAAGAAATAGGAAGTTAGTGATATTATTAGTAAGAACAACAAAACAAATATTAGATAGGGTCCTGAAATATTTACACAGCTGATAGTGTTTCTTGCTAATGAATCTATTACTCTGTTCAGACAATGTGTAAGCTTACAAGTTTTTAATCTAGTAACTTTCTGTGTAACTTGACTATTTTCTGATACTACAGAAGGAAGGAACAAATTAATATAATTTTGTCTATTAACAATTTTGATTGGGCAGTTGAACTATTATTTCTCTGTTAAAGTCTTCCTCTTCCTACTGAAAGGTGTAAAATAATGTTCATTAGAGGGATTTTTACAGTTCTTTTTAGGTAACATCTGTAATTGTATTTTACTTATAACTTGCAGAAATGTTTGATTGCACAAATAATATTTTTTATGTCTTCTTTCTAGAAAAGACCTTTCAGAATCTCAGAAGACATGCAAAGATTTGGAAGGAAGGCTGAAACATCAGCAGTCACTTGTTTCAGCCACAAATCCTAACTGGATTGGTGGTCTGTGTCTGAAATGTGCACAACACGAAGCAGTTCTTGCAGACACTCATTCTAATATTCACATCCAGACCATTGAGAGGGTAACAAAGTAGGTTTAGGGGGGTATTTACTTTCTTATTGAAAGTACAGTTGCTTTCATTAAACCCTAGCTCTCTATATGTTTTGTTGGATTCATAGAGAGATGTGCACTTATGCAACAATGGACTCCCAAGTTGAAGTTATCATGCTAAAATCAGTGGCTGAATATGAGTGTGGGTCCCAACCACTTTGCAGTCCTTGGTAGTTTTGATACTTATTTCAACTGGAAAAGAGTGTTAGTCATTATACTGTAATTATGATACCTTGGACTGTCTAGATAATCAGACTGTTGATAGTCTGTTTCCCGTGTTTTTGTAGGAAATAAACCTTTCACTGTGTCATAACAAATATTATGGAAGTCTGTGCATTTTGATTGATTATTTCCTGCAAAAGTTCCTTATCTTTCTGTAGTTGAACGTTTTTCTTCTTATTCTTACATTTGGGGAACTTTTAGGATACATAAGCAGTTTAATTTTTCTTATCCCCTCCCCCTCCCCGAATTTGCTTACTAGGACAGGTTTTTGGATAGGATGCATTGTTCCTACCTAAATACAATAAGAAAGGGGAAATAAGAAATAGGAAGTTCCTTTGGATGAAAATAAATAAAATTATTTGCTGCAGCCTTATTTTATTTGTAGTTTTTATCTAAATGATTTATAAAAAAGGTTGTATAGCCTGAAAATATATATATGTGTGTGTGTGTGTATATATGTGTATATAAAATTCAGAAACCCCAACAGCATTAAGATGTGTTTTTTCTTCAGAAATTCTACTGGTAAATCATCTTCAAAACATCTCTCAATTTCTGCTTGCTAGTACTAATGGTAGGATCCTGCAGCTTCCTCAGAGTTTCTTAAACAGACATCTATTTACTGTCAGCTATCAGAAGCTTCTTAGGGTTCCTAAAGCTTTAGAATGAGCTTGCTGGAGATGAGGTGGTGGGTCAATTAGAAGCAAAAAAACTGAAGGGATGTAGTACATATTGTCTGTCAAATGGATATTATCTGTAAGCATTAGATGGCTGTTGCCAGGATTTATGTGTTTTTCTGTTGTCAGGTTCAAGATTTTTCTGGGAAAGCTCTCTGTTGCTGAAAAGTCATGTTTCAAAATCTACTTTTGTAAGAAAAGTATTTGTCATAGACACTGGAAAATATGAACACATCAGTACATTCTTGTCATCTTGTATTATAGTGTAGTTTGAAATAAAGTATTTGAGCTATCCTATTTATCTTGCTTAAACCATTATTTCAGTCTGAGATTTAATAAAATCTGAAAGCTACATCTTCCGGTGATGAAGTTTATTAATAAAAAAAGTGTTTCGGTAGGGATTTTCAAAAGAATTCTGTTAAAATACTGAAATGAAATTTCAAAATGTGACAGTTCTCTAGCAAATCCAACTGTGTTGTTTTTGTACAGAACGTGAAAAAAAAAAAACCCAAAACCAACACAACAGCTTGCAGCCAGAATCTCTACTTGCACCTAAACCACAGACAATTATACTTTTAATTTAAAAGCTTTCAACATACGAAAATAATGAAAAGGTGAAGTTAATTATTACGGTTTTACTGACTGTGCTTCACCATTTGCTCTAGTTCTAAATTTCTTAGTGAACAAAGGTTCAGAGGGGTTGTAGAATCCAGAAGTCTTACTGTTTAATTTCCAGTTTGCAGCAAAGGGCTATTTATTTGTTTTCATTTGATATGCTTAGTGATCTGAATTACTTTTTGAACCTAGCCCTTCCTTTTTTTTCTCACCATTTGACATTTAATTAGGAATTAAATAATAACATATTGCTCCCATCTATTTTTTCAGAAACATGCCTTTGTTTTGGTTTTGGTGTTTGTTTGGTTTTGGTGGTCGGTTTTAGCATGGATCTCCATTTTGTAATGCAAACGGAATGTTGCTCAGCTGAAACATATGACTTGAGCTCTGCTGTCATTACTGTCAGTTTTACTAATAGTCCACCCTCCTTAAGTGAAGGACTGATCAACAAGCAAAACATATTTTTAATACTGCCTAGGTAGCAGTATGCTATCTTTCACTTTTAATACATGCTGGCTTTACCACCCTTATGTCTTTTCCCTGTTAACATTTTATATTTGATATACCTGTTAGGTTTTTTTTCTCTTGAGAAAAGATATAGAAGAAATATCTGTTTTTTCTTTATATGCAGAGAAAGAGATGACTTGATGGATGCGTTTGTTTCATTGAGGCAAAACATGAAAGAGATGCAGCAAAGAGAATCTAATGCTTGTGAGCAAGTTAAGTATGCTGTGCAAATGGCAGAAGAGGCCAATTTAGTGAAAACAAAGGTAAATTCATCAAGAAATGAGAGCTTTTCAGTATTTAGATCTACCACAAATATTGATCAGTTTTCATGCTAATGAGCGAATACATATATAAGACCTTTGTCGCATGTTGATATGATGTATTAGATTTAAAAGGATTGCACGATTTGACCATTTCTGAGCTACAACATGAACTCTGAGTTCTTAAATTCTCATTAAGGCTGTGTTGCATTCTTAGGCCATCATTTAAGTTCTGACCTATTTTTGCTACTAGGTGATAGAAATTGAATGGCAGAATTTTCAGAGGCATTCATGTCACGTAGGAAGATAATTCTCGTATCAAATTTCTGAGCTACACTGGAAAGAGTACTTAATGCTTACAAACAACTCTTTTGCATCAATGAGTGTAGTGCAAGAACTGATTAGCTGACAGAACTCTTTGAAGATGAGAATTCCTGTCTGATGCTACCTGCAGGAAACTTTTGGTGCTATGCAAATAATAACGATAAAACCAGTTTTGATTTTATGCTTGTGTTAGTCCTAGTTACTTTATATGATCAACTAATCTTGACCTAAATTATTTTCCTGATATTTAGTGACATCTACTGTATTATTAGTGAATTACTAAGGAATTGAGAGAGTTATTTTTTGTTTGGTTTTGTTTGTTTAAAATGAAATGCTGTTGGTTTTAATAGTGGGCAAGGTTTATATACTTGTTCTATTGATCAAATTGGTATTATTTATCCAATGCTGCAAGACTGTGTGTGTAGGGTCTTTAACTATAAAGTTAAAGGGTGGAGGGAAACAATGAAATTTGGAAAGTTTATATGCTTTTTAAATTTAACTTCAGAATATTACAGCTCCTTGTTTTTTATTGAAGAGAGAAAGAATCCTTCTGAGCCCACTGTTCACCTGTAACATTCTGTTCCTGAAAGGTTAAGTTTTTAAATTGCTTATTTGTTAACTTTCGTAGGGTGGGTTCTACAGTTGTTCAGTAGAAATGTTATTCACTTACTGCTATTGAAAACTGCACAAAATACTTTCCTTTTCTGTGTAATAAAGTGAAATTATCTGATCTTCCTGTTTTTTCATTTGGTGTAGGAAATCTTTATTTTAATAATTAAAAAAAATTACCTATAAACTCTTTCTCAGTTTAGCTCATGTTTGAGATATGGCCTAAGAATAAAGCTTAGTAAGATGAGTTAGTAGAACCTTTAATAAAATGGCTGTTTCTACCTATACTACTTCTGCTACATAAAGAAAACAGCTCTGTAGGGTCTCTACTGGCCACTCTCTTCACTGCAGAAAGGAAATGTGGACTGCTGTTCTTATATGAGAATGAATAGTAGTGTGATTTCCCATGTTCAAAAACTGTTGTAAAATAAAGGAACAGGAAGTAATCTCTAACTTATGCTGCATTAATTTAGATTTTTTTTTTTACATGTAATGGTATTGCTCTTGGTAAGTCCTATTCTACTCTTAAGTCTCTTTCTTTGTTATTATCATGGAATTCAATAGAACAGGCCACATAAGAAAAAGTGAAGAGTTAACATATTGGGCTTCCAAATGCTATAATTGCAGTTTCATCACCCTGTTGACAGTCTAACCTCAGGTGCTTATCACTTGAAACCACCATTTTTTCTTGTCTTATGGATGTCTCTGGTTTGTGGCCTCTTGCCTATTTTGTAGAGCAAGGAGGAGATCTGGTAAAGGTAAACTTCCATAGTTAAAGCAAATCCAGGAATGTATTTTCAGTATAAATGGAAGAGTAACTTTCTCAACTGTTCATTATGTAGACAAAACAAGACTACCTTGGTGAGGGATAGGAAAGAGACCCTGAGGAGGATCCCACAGAATTGACATAAATCTGATGGAGACTGTTAGAGCATTCTTTAAAAATTATGGTTTAATTTGCTTCCCTCATGAACAGCCCAACACAGAGGAAATTGCATATAGGAGTTTTGCTTTGAGTAAAAGAGAAATAAGCAGTTTAAAAAGACTATTTTGAAAATAAAGGGTAGTAAGGTAGGATTCCTAGAAGGAGATTACTTTAGCTTCCTTGAAATAGAATATGCTGAATATCAGTGGAGTGATTAAATGAAATCTAGTTTACTCGTGCACTAGCAAGCTGCCTTAAGGGTGCTTTGAATACTTCAATTTAGTTTTAATGGAGTAGTGCATTTCTGATTTAAACTGACATAATACTCAACTGCTATCCCTTTGGCAGGGATACATAGGCATAAATTATTGTTCAGGGGTGGGTTTTTTCTGTAGCTTTTTTAGAAGATAGTGTCTACTGTGCTTCTTGCATATAAACTTATATTTTTTCTATTTTGATAGAAAACACATCGATTACCTATGTTTTAGCACTTCAAATTAAGCAGGACATTTGTGAGTTTTTAGTAGAATTAATCTTCTTTATTTGACAAACCTGAAACTAAACTAAAATAGAAATTGTTTCTTTGTGTCTTTACTTACTTTTTCCAGGTTTCTTCTTAGCCTTCTGCACTTAGTAATTGACTTTAGCGGGAGAACAAGTGAAGTGCATACATTACTTGTTTAATTTCCTTCATCTATGCAGTTATTCAGTAACGAATGCAGTTATGCAGTAACCACAGTGTTTGCAAGGAGTCAAATATTGGAGGCTGATTCTAGTGATGTAAAAATCAGGAATTTTAAATGCAAGCCAGATATTCATCTTAGTTTTGGAAGAACAGCTACTTATTTGGAAAATATGCCTTGGAAAATGCTTCCATCTTTGCCATGGCTGCTAAAATAAATTAGACTTCTAAATTACAGTAGGGAATGTATATACATACAAACACATACATCTGTTTTCAATTTGTTAGTCCCATTCTGGATGTTAACATAGTAGGGTATGGATAAGCATCATAATAACTATGTAAAAAACCAAACTGCATCATTTCTAACAGCAAATTGGTTTCTCTTAAGGCATTAGATACATACTGTTTGTTTAGAAATTTTAGGATTCTTCCATCTAAAAAATAGGGTTTTTTTCTAGGCTGTTGTCCAGTGTGAGCAGCTGAAAAGTGAGATGGAACGGCAGAAGAATCGTCTTGAAAAGGAATTAGCTGCCCAGCTAAATAAGATGACCGATGAAAAAGAGGCACTGCGGGAAGAAATGAAGAAGGAAAAGGAAGACTTGACAGCAATGGTATGAGTTGGTTTTTATTTCCAGTTGTGTATTACGAGCGTATTGTCCTCAAACTTTCTGTTTGCTTGTCTTTCATTTTGTTTCAGTTTTAATTTTGAGACCTCAGTAAATCACTTCCATTATTGCTTTAAAGCAGAGGTAGATAAGTGATCCTATGAGTTTGAACAACTGGATTTTATGCTATGTCGCTAGGTACATAGTAAATTGTTGATGTTGTACACTTTATTTTAGTTTGTGTATTTTCTAATGCACTTTGTCAAAGTAGGGTTAAGTAATACATGATGCAAGGTTTGTACTTATCTTCTTATAAAGATTATTTAGGTTGCCAAGTCAAGTGTTCAGAAGTTAGCACATGCCACATTTAGGATTCTTTGCTACTTTGAGCTTACATATACATATACATTGTTACAGTATAATGTAATATATGTTATAATTGCATTCTAATATGGCATTTTTCAGAGTAATCTTACCATATCCTTAATTTGACCACCTGCAGAAATGTGCTGGAATCTCTTTTATCACTTTTACTGATGTTTATAAAATCTCTGAGGCAGAATCTGTTTCATTATAAGGGAAACCTCATGCTAACAGGATGCACTTCTAAGGTAACTGGAGAAAGAAATGGGAAGAAAAGATAGAAAGGCTTCATGAATAAGTGGGTTTCATGCTTGTTTGATGTGCAGCCTCTTCAGTCGTTTTCTGGTGGAGGTTTGGAAACAATATAATGAATTTCTCTTCTCAATGTAGGCTTTTTCCATATTTTAGGGCTTTTTTTAGAAATAAGCGATACAGTTTATTATAAAGTCAAGAGAGCACAGGCTGAACAGGGTAAGCTATTTAAGTGTTTAAAAAAGGGGAGGTTCTTTAGCAGTGTTGTTGCTTGTGAAATGGCCAGAAAGCTACTTAAATGAACAGGAAACCAAGGTGATATAGTTGTATTTCTGGTATTATAAGATGGTAGAATAATGTTTTGAAGCTGCTACAGGAAGTCAAAGCCTTTGGCTCCAGTTCCAGGTATTAAAACAGGAATTAAGTACAGTGATAGTGGCTAAGGGATATTTAAGAAAGCGAGCTGTTGTAAGTGGTCATCAGAAACCTGTAGCCAGGGAAACAGAAATAAAAAAAAAATAACCTTACACTGGAGACAGTGAGACATTATTAAGCAATTCCCTGTGTGAGTCCTTGCTATCTATTGGAAGTTATCCTTCTTATGCACTTAGTTGTTTAGTTACAGATCTGCTTTAGAACAGAGTATGCACTCCAAAACCAGCCTATAGGCAAGCATTTCTTACCATTTCTTGGTAGAATAATTCACTTCATGTCATCACATTACTTTGTTTTTCATCACGCAGAGATGTGTTTTACTGGAACCGATTCCCACTTCGAGCAGTTGCAGTCTTTCTTTTAAATCCTATATAGATATTAAACAACATATAGTGACACTATGATGTGATGATTGGAAATTAAAGATATGGGATGACTTTGTAGAAAACTATGATTTATATGCATGATTTATGCCTATGTATGATTAATACTTTTTTGTTTCAGGATTATGAGATGGTAGAAATGGTATACTGTGCATCAGGTCAACCTTCCTGTCAATATTTTATTGTTTACTTCATGAAGTGGTTTGTTTAGAGGGGAGAAAAGGTATGATACATAAATCAGGTGAATGTATAATGAGTGAAAGATAGTTAGGAATATATAAACCTCTAGGTTTGGCTTTGAATTCCTTTAAGTTAACCTAGAACTGTCAGACACCATCATTTCCACTTAGATTAATGAATTTCAGGGGTAAGTGGCTGAAGGATCACTGTCTGGTTTATTGATACATCTTTTTACCATTCAGCAGAATTTGACCTGGATTACCTTAGAATTTTTAGCATACAATTATTATGGATTTTGTACATCATGCTTTGATCTATAGTGCTGAAATGCTTTCTGAACTTGAAAATTAAATTAAGATTTGTGATTGCAATGACAGTTTTCTTTAGCCAGGGGCACATGATTCGGTTTAAATCCATCTACATAGGGATGGATAAGAAGGTATTAAATAGTACTTTTACAGCTGCAAGACTAATGCAACCAGCTGCTTCTGACACTTTGTCCATTCTAACAAGTCCTGGAGACTAGTCCAGTTGATGAGAAGTTTCAAATAAACTGCTGTGTGATAAGTTAATTCAAAATAATGAACCTGTTGTTAAAATAATTTAGCTCTATTCTGTTCTATTTTAAAATTATATTATATATATTTA